GTACTTGAAATTTTAATATCCTGATCATTGACGATTATCAAACCCCTCTGTGTTAAGTATTTGTTACTTAACACCAGGAACCCCCTTCGAGTGATCGGTACAAGTCAATACTCTCACTATGATTTATACTCCCACTCCTACTGTCTACCTAGTCAAACCTTCCTACAGTTAGGGTCACAATTAAATCCCCTCTCGATTCCTCTAATGAATGAGAGGTCCACTTTTAAATCAAGCGATCAAACCTTCCTACAGTTAGGGTCGTCTCAAACCTTCAACTTGGTCAAACCTTCCTACAGTTAGGACCATAACCAAAATCTTCTCTCGATTCCTTCCATAAACGAGAGGTCCACTTTTAAATTGAACGATCAAATCTTCCTACAGTTAGGATCGTCTCAAACTCCTGCTTGGTCACACCTTCCCAAACTCCAGCTTGGTTAAACCTTCCTACAGTTAGGGCCAAAATCACAATTCACTCTCGATAAATGAGAAATTCACCTTTAGTTCGGTAATCAAACCTTCCGACAGTTAGGATTATCCGAATCTTTTCGATTCTCGGAGTGGGATCCCCACTCTTAGTTTCACTCTTCAGATTCTCAAAGTGGAGATCCCACTTTGAGTTTTCTTTATAACTGGAGATAGAATATAAAATGCTTCCTCTCCAGCATCGGGTTCGTCTTTGCCCCAAGAGAAGACACTATTTTTCAACTCCAAAATCCATGCTTCATATGCATGGGGAATTTTATCCCGAATCCTAAATAGGGATAAGTTAACGCCTAACATGCGTTGCCGGTTTAGTCTTTCACCGATTGAAAAAGACACCAGAATCCAAGTCTGGAGAATTTTATACCGAATCCTAAGTAGGATAAGTCAACGCCTAACACGCGTTGCCGGTTTAGTCTTTCACCGAGTGAAGAAGATACCAGAATTCAAGTCTGGGGACTTTTATCCCCAATCCTAAGTAGGGATAAGTCAGCGCCTACACGCGTTGTCGATTAGTCTTTTACCGTAAAAAGGACAAAAGCACACATATTCGACATTGTGGCAGGTTGTTATTAATAACACCAAAATACGTTTCTTACACGCGTAGGGAAATTTATCCCGAATCCTAAGTAGGGATGAGTCAATGCCTAACACGCGTTGCCGGTTTAGTCTTTCACCGAGTAAAGAAGACACCAGAATCCAAGTCTAGGGACTTTTATCCTGAATCCTAAGTAAGGATGAGTCAGTGCCTAACACGCGTTGCCGGGTAGTCTATTCTCGTGACAAATATAGAGTCTATGTATTCAATATCATAGTGTCAAGCCTAAGAGAATTCATTCTTTTAGCATAACGTTGCATGCGGAACGAACTTAAACAATCTGCGTGCTAGCCCTACTCAAATGGTAGTCGGTAAAGGATCATCAAATCCGTTGATGGCTGAGGGTTTGCCAAAAATCCTACAAATATGAGAGTCATTGACGCACCAGCCCGATTAGTTGGTTTCGTGACTTGAGGATCCAATAACTTCAGGATAAAATCTATACATGCAGATGAATCAGCTTTAACAGTTGGTCCTGCAGCCCTAACATTTGGGACCGCCATGCTCCAATGCCTTAAGAGATTAAACTGTGTAAAATCCAACAAACGTACGAGTATAAACTATGTTAACGTTGGTCAACGCGTTACAGTAAAAGTCGAGGCAGGTCAACGCATCGATTTCGCCAAAATAAGGCTAAGAAAAAATTTCGGATTAAAGGATGATTCTAAGGAGTTCAATTGCGATTCAGATATGAATTCCCGATGAAGACAATCAGTTCAGCGTTAACTCAACAACACGAGCTAAGTTCAGAAACTTACACACCAACTCCAGTTCAAAACTTCAACAACGGTCAGACGATAAACGTAGCACCAGAAGAACTTTATCTATTCAACAAAATACTGAACAGACTGAAGGCTGGAGTAGTTAAGAATTGAAGTAGTTCACAGGTCCCTCTACGAGATTGAGGAAAGGGCCTATTTTATCCAAAGCATTCTAGACTCCTCTATAAAAGAATCAGTCTGAAATACTTTAGAAGAGGTATCTGTAGGCGTCTAAAAAATGGCTATAGGCGTCTGTACACAGCTCGAGACGAATAGAAGATTACGAACGTCGTTATCCGAGTCTAAGAGGATTATCTGACGCCGACAAGTGCATGAACCGAAATGATGAACCGTGTCTCGTGCACTCATCGGCCACCTCCAATTGGCCGTCACGCTCGTTAGTCAGCTCACACGCGTTGGTCAGCATGCGCACGTCAATCAGCTCGAGTGTGTCGGTCAACTCAAAGTGACCGAACACGCTCGTCAGTCAGCTCGCGCGTGTCGGTCAGCTCGCGCACGTCAGTCAGCTCCAAGTGACCGGACGCACACGTCAGTCAGCTCGCGCAGAGTGTACAAGTCAACACAACGGGCAAATAAGTGAAATGGCAGAAAGTACAAGTCCTAGAAAGTAAAAGTGCCAAAAAAGGAGTTCAGCTGAGGCGGCGGACCCGCGTCTCAACTGCCTAGATATCATCCATAAACATGGTTAGGTCGTTGTCAACTAAAGATAATGCCAAATCCATCGTTCTTATCCGAAAACCCCCAACCGAAGCCTATAAATACTGGCCTAGGGGCTCATTTCACGGGGGTGAATTATTATCAAGAGGGCAAGGTGCTGCTGGATTGAGGAGTCAAAGGAGCACGAATTTACAGTGAAGGCAAGTCAGATCCCGGTGAACTTTAGCATAAAGATGAAGGCTTTCGAAGGATCTGAACCCGTATTCCCCCCGTCCGTTCCTTGAGATTAGGCTTACTCTTAATCTCGAGAAGAGATACTGATTTCGCTTGGTCGATTTCAGTGCTTCAAGCGAATACTTTCTTGGTGAAGTAGGAGCTCTGTCAATTTTCTGTAGAAGGATCCGATCCGTAGGCGGTCCACAGATAAACCCCGGCACAGGCAAGGATCCCACTCAAGCAGAGAGTAATAAATAGGATCTGTGTGTTGTTTGAAGGAGATTGTAATTTTTATTTTTATTGTGTAAAGGTCATTTAAAAAGACCAATCTTTTTGAACTTGTTGTAACGATTAAAGTTGTAACGAGTTATACAATGAAGAAAACAATTTCTGACCCAAACAGTAATCCTTGCATTTGGCTCTTTGAAATGTGAGAATCGTCAATCTGTAACTCTCGTATGTTGTCGTGGAAGTCGTCAGATTATAACTTTCATCGTCAGTATTTTGAGGGGACCAGCTATCTGCAATAATTTTTAGATAGCCTACACACCATAACAGAAAATTTAATCAATACTGGAAAATTTGCCAAAATTTCCTAGATCGGACTTGGATCATCATTACTTGATTTTGAATAGTTGGCAAACACCGTCTAAGATCTCAAAAGCCTCATATAATTCCTTCATCTTAAAACTCCGTCATAACTTCAAATTTGTGGTGAGTGTCGAGTATAGGGGTGTTCAAAAAGCCCGGAGCCCGGCCCGGGCCAAGTCCGGGCTCCGGGCCAAGTCCGGGCTCCGGGCTGGCCGGGCCCGGCCCGGCCCGGATTGTTTTTTTTATTTTTTTATATGTATTATATTATATATGTATAATATATGTATATATAATATATTTTTATATATGTATAATATATGTATATATATAATATATGTATATATAATATATTTCTATATATGTATAATATGTCATATGTGTGTATATATATACTCTCTCTTAGTATATAAGTATATATAAGTATACTTTCTCTTATATAAGTATATATAAGAATACTCTCTCTTATATATGTATAATGTATGTATATATGTATATATAAGTATACTCTCTCTTATATATGTATACTCCCTATTATATAAGTATACTCTCTCTTATATATGTATAATATGTGTGTGTGTGTGTGTGTGTGTGTATACTCTCTCTCTTAGTATATAAGTATATATAGGTATAGTATATTATAACGGCTACTTCTTCCTCATTGGCCCAACGGGCAACGGCTATTTATGCGATTCTCTCTCTCTCAAGTTATAACGTATAAATATATACAATATATTTACATATAATATATGTATATATAATATATAGTTACATAATAATTTGGAAGTATATACTAATACATAATTATATAAAATATAATAATATTAAACTAATTTTTAGCATTTTTTTATCAAAAAAAAGAAAAAAAAATTAAAAAAACCTAGTTGAGATGTACTTATCTATTGTGATGCGATAAATTCCAAAATAAATTTATACTTGTAATTTGTAAATGATTTATTAATTATTAATAAAGAATTCATTTTTATAATTTTTATTTGTAATTTATGTCATTTTAAGTGATTAATAAAATTATTATTTTTTATTATTTTTTTGGTTTTTTTATAATTTAAAATTTAAATAAAATTTAAAAATTTTGATTAAAACACTAGTAGAAAAACGACCAACCTAGACGGAAATTTCCGTCTAGGTTGGTTCATCTAGACGGAAATCCGTCTAGGTAGATTGGTTTATTCTGTTTCCATCTAGTTTGCATCAAACTAGACGGATTTCCGTCTAAATTGATCAATCTAGACGGAAACCAACCTAGACGGAAGTAACATTTCCGTCTAGGGGAAAACCGTCTAGGTAGTCAGCCTAGACGGAAATCCGTCTAGGTTGTCATCCTAGACGGAAATCTGTCTAGGTTGACAACCTAGACGGATTTCCGTCTAGGATGACGACCTAGACGGATTTCCGTTTAGGCTGACGACCTAGACGGTTTTCCATCTAGGTTGACAACCTAGACGGATTTCCGTCTAGGTTGGTGCAGTCTAGACGGAATTCCGTCTAGGTTGCTATTTTTCCAGCAAAAAAAATATATTACAATTTGTATTTTCCTGTACAATTACACCAATACATGAATACATACAATAAATACTGTATATATGAATACATCCAACCATCCAAATATAATCAAGATTTTAGACAATTCCATTCAAACCCAAAAATATTCAAATCCAACATAATGCACAGATCCAGCCATAATATAATCAATTCCAGCATAATAAACAAATCCAACTATCTACTTCAAAATATGCATCAACCAAGACCGTCTAATATATACATCCAACAAGCATATAAGTATTGTTATAACAGATAAAGCTGTTCATTGCATTAAAAATGTACAAAAAACCTCATAAACCTCATCAGTCGTCGTCGTCGGCAGTATCTCTATCCCGGTTACGAGAACGTGTGCTGCTCCCTCCAATATCTCCACTCTGAATGGTCAATTGAATAATCATTAAGGAGTGTTTAATACATATTAAATATAAATGAATTTATTATTTTAAGGAAAAAAAAGGTACCTGAGTGTTGCTCTGACCAGCACCGGAATTATCGCCAAGCGAGCTTATAATCCGTATAACACCACCATACGCGCTATGAGGAATCGCACCGCTTAAATATTGCATGACATACCCCAGGAGATCATCCATCGAGTTCGCCGTCAGCGCAACTTTTGTCATCTCATTAGTCACCTGGATATGTAGCTCCGAGTCAATCTTGTCAAGCAAATATGCAGAGATACGTGCGACAAATGGCATAGCCTGGAACCGAGGCGGGGCTGCTCTCATGGATGTAAATGGTGTGGAGGATGCTGTGGATGACCTCATGCTTACGCCGTGTGAAGCTCCAACACCATGCAGATGATATCTCCCTCTCCTATGTTTAGGGAGAAATAAATATTAAATTTTAATCTCGAATTCAATAATGATAAAAAAAATACAAATAGGAATGTAGTATTCAAATTGATTCAAATTTTCTACATCCATACATATTATGACCCATCAAATGCTGTGTGAGAGTAATGTTGTCCTCTGCAGAAAGCATGTGAGGGTCCGGCTCAGATTGTTCCTCCTGCTGCGACATATACACAGTTGCAGCCTCCTTTGATGCAGCCTCAAATCCCTCCTAAAGCACAAATATATAATTATTTCATGGTAAAGACAATGTTATTTGTGTTCTCATTTCCTCATAATATTAACAACAAAATAGAATTAATAATACTACACAAGATATGTATAACTCTCACCACCAACTCGAGATTTGCCTTGATCTTATCTCGATTCTTCTCATCACCCCTATATCTATCACGGAAAATGCCATACGCCGCTTTCGCCCTCAAGTGTATTGGCATTAATGATTTTCCCTGTCATATTATATATTATCACACTCATAATCATACTAATCATTAAATTCATCAAAACTTTAGACGGAAATCTACCGTATCCTGACAATAAACATCCTCCAGATTGGCATAGGAGTGTGAGCCCAAGTGGTGGTCATGCAGCTTCTTTCTTCTATTTTCTGACCCCTTCGTGGATTTATTCTTTTTTAAAAGAAAAAAATTAGCCATAATGCAATAAATTAATATCTTAAAAGTATAAAGTAATTTTCATGAAACTAACCTTGGAGGCATCGCTGTCCCAATACATGAGGAGAGCTGTGAAATGAACCTCGTCAACTCGGGCGTCGAGGTTTAAAAACCTCTGCCAGTCCTCCTCATACCTGTCATAGGTTTCATGTTTGATCTCATGCCTCCATTGTTTGAGAACTACTTCAACCTTAACATTGAACACATAATTCCAAGCCCCCTCAAAGTCCTCAAGGCAGAAGCAGTCCTGTAGATTTACATACACATTTAGGAAAGATAATTTAATATCAAATACTAATTATTAATAAATAAAAAGTAATAGCAATATGTAGTTACCATAAGCGCTGTCCATATCGCCTCGTATGCGCTCCATGGTAGTTCTCGAAATTGAAAATAAGGGTTGATAATGGTCGCTCTACGCACTAGAACCCCAATATATGCATTCAAGCGGGTCGACCATGGACCAACGGGCAAATTAGAACTATTCCACCGAATTATTGCCCTCATTCCTCTTGGCGGTTGTTTGGAATCAGGCTTACCTCCGCCACGTCTGTTCTCGATACGATCCTTCTTAGCACCTACAATAATAACATGATAATATATCATATAATATACAAATGTGAAAATTAAAAGTATTTATACAATTTACCATTCGCTATCTCTCTTTCCTTTGCTGCGAGTGCAACCTTCTTTCGTGTCTCAATCATTTCACGCATTTCTTCTAATTTTCTCGCAGCACGTGTATGGTACTTCCTTGCGTCAGCCATAGACTTATGAGAGGCTGGAGGTAAAGGTAAACTAAGATAGTCCTGTGTCTTTGGCCGCAAGTCCGTGTGGAATGTATAAGATGGATATGTCGGTGTCCAAGTATCCCCTACATAAGAAAGGAGAATCATTAATATAGTTTTTAATTAACCATTATAATTGAGCATTATAATATTGAATACCTGCATCAGGGGATGGTTCTGGTACTGCATCAGAGGGGCCAGGTGATGAATAACCCGCATCTGCAACAAATTAATCACTATTAGCTAGATAATTAATAATTGATAAAATATATTAAAGTATTAATTAATTTGGCAGTAAGTCTGATTCCTGATTAGGCAGTAAATCCGCTTCTGAGTTCGAGTCCGAAACTGATCTTGATTCGATCGCGATTCGTCCGAGTCCACTCTCGGTTGGATGACTCGTTGATTCCTCAACTCGTTAGCTTGATTCTGCACGCGGGTGGATTCATTCCGTCGCTTGCGTACGATTCGTCGATCTCATTGCCTTGTTGGTTCGTCGGTTTGTGCCGAGCTGAGCTAAGGGATCTATAAGCAATTTTATACGCCTACAGATACCCCCTCCAAAGTATTTCAGTCTCGTTCTTTTATAGAAGAGTCTGGAATACTTTGGATATGCTTGTCCCAACCTTCAGTCGGTGTAACGGGACTTTGGAATGATCTCCGTTCTTGATTCCTTCAATCTTCCAGGCTATTCGGTGCTTTGTCGAATATCTATAAGAGTTCCGGTGCTGCATTTATTGTCTGACCGTTGTCGGAATTTTAAACTTGGAGTTGATTCCTGATCTTTTAGCTAAACATCGATTGTTGGCGTCGAGTTTTTACTTGCAACGCGTTGTCCGGCGTAGTATTGTTGAGTTATCCTTAAGAATATTTATAAAAACATATCCTCCAGGAACTTCTCAAACCAAAAATAGGGAATAGTTTATACTCATATACCTTATTGGAGTGATTTTGTGCCTAAATGAGCTGAACCGGCTTAAAATGAGCCAAAAAAGGCAGTAAATCGGCTCAAAAAATCCTCCGACTCTTCCGAACAAATGGGAGAGAAGTGAGTGAATGATGGACTGAACCGTCGCTCGATTTGAAGTCGTTTCGGTGCTCGGTTCGGCTTCAATTTAGCTTCCGGTTCGAACCCGGTCCGGTCCGGTTCGGTTTGGTCAAAACCCGGTCCACCCTATATAAAAGGGGTTTTTTTTTTAAAAGGGGTCTTTTTCTTTTTCTTTTCCTCCACCTAGGGCCGGCCCCCCTCTTGCCTCCTTTTTTGCTTTTCTCTTCCCTCGAGTGTCCGATCTCCTTAAAAACTTGATATTCGTCTTAGATCTAGTACTCCTTTTGATCCTTGACTGAAAAATCCTTCGAAACTGCCATTTTTGAAATTTCTCTCAGGCCCCTCGAGCGCGTGGTTCGAGCACTTTTCAAGATCTAATCTTTATTGGATCTTCGAGCTTCCCCTCAGGTATATCTCCATAATTTTAGCATTTTTTATGCTTAATTTAATTTATGAACTCGTGGGGTTGCGTGCGAGGGTTAGGATTATGATTCGTCGCCTCGAGCTTATCTTTCAGGGGGTAAAAATGTGATTTTTTTCTAGATCTGACCTCTTGATTTTCTTTGTAGGTCACTATGTCGCGAGTCTAGAGAGGTCGTTCTCCTGCTGCATCGGCTAATGGCGTGCTTGCCTCATATGCTGGTGAGCTATTTTTGACCTTTTCGAAAATTTACAAATTAGTCCTCTTTTTTCTGGATATTTGCAAATTGGTCCCTTTTACCCCCCGTTGTTCTCCTTGGTGAGGCAACCGGGAAAGGCCTTGGTTCTCCTTGGTGAGGATCGACGCTTTATGGAAATTTTGCAAATTAACCCTCTTTTTTCTGAAAATTTGCAAATTAGTCCTTTTACCCCATTTTGCTCTCCTTGGTGAGGCGATCGGGAAAAGCCTTGATTCTCCTTGGTGAGGATCGACGCTTTAAGGATGGGTTTTGCTTGGTCAAAACCACATCTCATAATAAAGGGGGCGTTTTGACGCTGCATCGTGCTTAATAAGGCAGGGATATATTGTCGATATACATTATCTTATAAATGCGCAATGTGGCCAAATCGTCTCGCCCTTTATAAGGCAATGACTCTATCTTACCAATTGGCCAAATCGTCTCGCCCTTTATAAGGCAATGACTCTATCTTACCAATTTGTAAGATGAGTTCAATTTTCTTTTATATCTGAAATTAACAAACACTTAACTGCTTGTTTTCAGTGGAATATCCTTCCGGAGCTTTTTCATCGCATGCGGTGAATGGACGTCGTGATGAGTATTATTCAACATCTGATGACTTTTCGCCCATTCCGTTCACCTCCCAGTTTGCTCCGGGCACGTCGTTGGAAGTTGTCCAAGTGGTGAGGGAAGACTGATTACAGATGCGCCTCTCGTGAAGGATGCCGGTTCCGTTCAGTCTCTCAGGAAGACTGACTTCTTATTTGGCGACTCTACTAGAGATCCCGATGCAGCACTTATTGAAGCTGATTAGTGGCTTTACCAGACTGGCAGTCGTTTTATGTATTTGCCGAAGATTCCTCGGCACCGTTCCTTGACTGAGCTCAGACGCCAGGCTGTGAAACGGGAGATGTCGTGGCGTTTGACAGAGGAGCATGAGAGCGTCCACTGCGGCTATATTACTCATCAGGCAGTTCCTGGTTCGAGTCGAGATCACATTGTTGGACTACATCCTGGAGTACTGGGGCTAGATACTCCGCCTCGCAATGAGTTCCTCACTGCTAACTTAGGACGGGAGATGCCCGCACCGCGCCACAGATTCTATGGTTGGGTCCATTCTTTGGACAGCTTTTTGGTGGGCTCGTATGACGAAGTACGTCTTGAGCCGATGGAGCGAGGAGTTACATGCTTGTGGTCTTTATGCAGCCATTCGGGCCACCATGCATGGTTTGCCTACAAGCGCGAGGCATTTCTTTTCCCTATGCGAGCTCTACAATCCAGATTCCAACACTTTTCTGACCAGGCACGGAGAGTTGGGCTTGGCTCTTCATGAGATGCACAAGATTTCTGGCTTGCCCATGGGACAGATGCTATACCAGGAGTACTTTCCCTCCAACCATGAGTTGAATCAGTTGAAGGATCGCATGCCCGACCGCTATGAGACCTTATGGGACCTCACTTGTCATTATCACATTGCTTTGGCACATTTTAAGCCCCTAGCGAAGAGGACCAAAGCAAATGTGAGCCTGAAGCAGTTCGCATCATATTTGTTCAGG